ACAGAAAGTGGACTACCTAGGTCAATGTAATGATTCATTTTGATTGACAAGTAGACTGGATCTGGAACCAACTGATAGATAGGCCACTGGGCACAGCTCATCATGAGAGGATTTTCTTGATCAACATAATCAAGTAGGAAGAGCCACCAAAAATGTGAGCAGCAACTTCTAATGACAACCCAGATAAAGGAGGTACATGGAGGAGGTCCAGGAGCAACCTTTTTGCACTTCGTATGTTTGTCTTCACGCCATATTTGCAAGTTCAAGTCCATCCACCTTTTGCTGCTGCCACTGCCACCAATGCTGCCGCTGTTCTTCACTGTCATTAAAACCTAGCTTCTTCGACCTTCCAACATGAACTGAAGACCAGTGGCTCTCCAGGAATCCTCCAGGCCTTCAAACATCAGACCGGGACTTCTGAGGCATCCAGCCCAGTGAACTGAGCACCTACTGGTTCTGGACATCCACAGTGTGAAGATGGCCATTGTTGGATTACTCAGAGCCTATCATGGAAGCCAATCTAAAAAATCCCCTTTAAATAGTCATTCTATAGGTACTGTTCCTCTAAAGAACGATCACTAATACAGCCAGAGTACATAAATCATACCATAAATAACTGTTACTAACAATAAGCCAAACAGCAAATGACCTAACCTAAAACATGACAGATCCTGTACTAAGCAGCAGTGATGTGTGTAATGTGAGATGTGACAGAAGACTGATGATGCACCATCATCAACAAACACCAGTTAAGCGTCTCCTGCCCTTTGGTACAGTGCACTAAGATTAGGGACTGAAGACAAAAGTATGTCCTTGAAGATTGCTACTGACTTCGAAATTTCAGGTAACTGGACCTGGACTGCAGTCACCCAGTTTGGGAGGTCTCTGGTGGTGCTAGTGGTTTTTTATTTTATTTTTTTAATATTTTATTTCTTCTTTTTATTTTATGTGTATGATTGTATTGACTGCATATAGGTAAGTGCACCTGTGTTGTGCAATGCCCCCGTAGGACAGAAGAGGCTGTCAGATCCCCTGGAACTTGAGTTAGGAACAGCTGTTAGCTGCCATGTGGGTGCTGGGATTCGAACCCGGGTCTTCTGCAAGAACAGCCAGTGTTCTTAACCGCTGAGCCATCTCTCCAGCCAAGGTTTTTTATTTAGATGAACTCAACTACTGATTTCTTTCTCTAAGTCTCCACTTTCCCATTCTTTTTTTTATTTTACAACTTAACAGTGTTTCATGTTTTCAGACTTTTCTGGGTCCAGTAAGCACCATAGTGGCCCGAGTGTTTGTGAACCACTCCTTTCATCAGCCTGCACCCCAGACAGTCATGGGACACGAATTACAGGCATCACCTTTAAAAAGGGAAAAGTGGATGCAAAAAAGAGTCCCTGGTCTAAGAACTCTCTCGAATTGGAGGCAAACTCCATGAGGTTTTCATACCCAAGCAATCTCTGACTTAACAGCTTTGCCTTCTGTTCCTTCAGCTCCACCTTTGGAGTCATCTTTCCATTTCTATGAAAAGTAACACGTTTGCAGCTCAGTACATTTACCAACCCTTTTCCTGCTGGTAGAATTTTGGGATCCAGACGGACTTCATTGCTTTCAACCTGTTATCGTTGGTCTTAGGTGGGAGTGTTCCTGGTAACACAGCATTCTTAAAATTTTGAGGGTCTCCTGTGCATGTCAGAATTCACTGTTTCAGGCAAGAAACTCCTCCACATGTCTTTCCTGAATAATCCCTTCTCTATTTCCAGCATCTAATAAGGTGGCTAAGGAGATCCATAAACCATATAAATAATCTCTCCAAGAGCCATTGTGTGGGTGAATGTTCTCTCTGAGGCAGTAGCAAAAAGTCACAACCACCACCTTTTGGGTCTTCCCTCCAGAGTATGGTTTATTGTTGCTAATGTGCTTGTTCACCTCTCTTAAAAACTGAATAAAAACCAGAACTTAAAAACCGCATCAGATTGTACTGTTGTCTTGTTGCTTATCAGGTCTTCCCCAAATCCCTCTTTCCTCTTGTATCACTATAATCAGAAGAAAACACAGAAAAGAGAAACCTCACCCTTAATCCTTTGCTTAGAAATCTCTTCAGATACACATCCAAGTTCGACTTGACACATACCTGTTGAACACAGTTCAGCTAAGCTTGTTACTATTCTACAACACAGACCTGCTTTGCTCATTTCTAATAACACAGTCCTCATTTTCTTATGAGCCCTTTATTTATCACCAGCACTTTTAAGATGCACATTTCTATGGATAGTCAGCTTTTGACAGTCTGTGTTTTCTTAAGACAATGTGAGTTTTCTCTACCATGTTCCTTACTCTCTTCGAGGTCTTCATTAGATGAATTGTTAGCATCTATTCAAGGCAATCTAGTGTAGCCTTTTAAAAATATTTGTTATTGTTATTTTATGTTTATGAGTGTATTGCCTACGTGTGCGTGAGTGCACCCGTGTCGTGCAATGTCGTGGAGGTCAGAAGAGGGCTTCAGATTCCCCTGGGACTGGACTTAAGGATGGTTTGTAGCACTAAGTGGGTGCTGGGATTCGAACCCAGGTCCTCTGCAAGAGCAGTCAGTGCCCTTAACTGCTGAGCCATCTCTCCAGCCTCAAGCGTAGCCTTTTTTTTAAAAATCATACTCTTCAGAATTCTTCCGGCCTCCCCCACTTCCCAATTCCAAAGCCACTTCCAGATGTTGAAGTATTTGCTGCGGTAGCACCTCACTTCCAGGTACCGTAATCAGTCCACATAACCAAAAGCTTCCCAAAGCTGCCCAAACAAGTATTACCACGTTTAGTGATTCAACACAATACAGCTTTCCTGCCTTTCTCAAGGTGGGAGATTAAAATGTCTGAGAGGCTGTGCTACTTTTGGAGGCGCTAGAGGAAATGTTCCCCTGCCTTTTACAGTTTATAGATACTACCCATCTTGATCACATGGTTCTGAGCACTGCTTCTATCCTCACATTTCCCCCACTCTGGTCTTCCTGCCTTCCCAGTCTGTGGACCCTGGTGATCACAGTTGATCCGCGCTAATCCTTTCATCTCGGCATCCTTAACTTAATGATACCAAGATAGTTTTTTTGACAGTGTTAAGATAATATACAGATTCTAGAGACTAAGATGTGGAGTGGAAAGGGGGAGGATTGTTGAGCCTGTCGCATTTGAAAGAATTTTCTGATTGTCCATGTTTTAAACCTGGTTGCTTGGGTGGCTTTAGTAGCGTGGTAATTGGAAATTGGAACAAATACATCTTTCAATAAAACTAAAGGAAGTTTCTCAGAGGTGTTATGTACCTCCTCATTAATATTACCTCATTATGTACTGCTGATCTCGTCCACTCTTAAATCTTTGATTCAGATGAAGCCAGTATAGAAAAACCATCGGGTTTTCCTGAGGAGAAAGGGTGAACTGTCATTTATCTTTAAAGAGTATCATGTGTTCAAATAGGGAGGTAATACCCCCTCTGGTTATAATATAAAATTAATTCTAATCACAATGGTAATTTAGTTTGTAACATCATGCATTTTGTACAAGAAGAGTTCAGTAATATTAGGGGTTCCTCAGGGTAGAATAAAAGATCTTGTCTTTACTATAACCCACTTTAATACCTTTAGTCACTGAGGTCTGTCACTCATACACTTAGATGCCATATTGATGACTGAGCTTTTACTTGGGAGCACTGCCAGCCACCAGACCTCAGGGGGCAAATTCTGGTTCCTAGTTTTGATGGAAAGGAACAGAATATACATTTCCCTAACATTCTTCAGTGAATAAGGCAGTAAATGTTTCTGTTTTTTTTTTTTTAAATTATAGGTTTTATCTCTGGGAGCACATTTTTGAAGACACACTCGATCCCACTGATGTGACTGCTCAGTGGAGAGAAGGACAGTCAATTGTAGGAAGAACACATTACAGGTATTAGTTGTACAACATTAACCTTGTCATGTTACTGTATGATATGATATAAGTACTAGAGGCAAATAAATTGTTTAAAGTTTCCATTTCAACTTAGGAAGAATGCAGAAATAAGTTGTGTGACTGTGTATTCATAGTTAGAGTTTCATTGAACATTTTCCTATGAAGCTGGCTGTTACAAGCGAATACTGCAGTTACGGTATTAGGACAATGATAGTGTAGGATTTTAGCAGTTAACTCCCAGCAAGAAAGCCTAAGCGCCATTAGCCCTTCTGAAATTTTTATGCAAGATTTTATATTATTAAAAATGCTGTTTCCTCTTAGAGAATTGTGTATCGAGCATTGTAACAGGTTTTAAAGCATCTTATTAAGCTTATGGAAAGTAGTACATTATTTACTTAACCAAAATTAGCAAACTTTAGTAGAATTCCAAGTTCTGAGCTGAATCAGATTCTGTGGGTACTAACTTAAGTGAATTTCAAATCTATATTGTTTGCACAATCATTCAGGATTTAAATGATTTCTCTAGGCTCTCTGTATTGAAGTATTTACTCCAAGAAAATTTTCAGCTGAGGCAAGCTGTAGAATAAAAAAAATATTGAAAAACATAAAATTTATCTTTTCTGACTAAACCTTAGAATGTCTTCCATCTTAATCTGTTTTAGATTTACTTGATTTTTTAATGAATTTAAAATAGTACTTCCATTTTACAAGTTGATTTTTATTAAAGCTAGTTTTCTTTTTAAGATAGACTTATAATTTGTAAATAAGTGGTTATGATGATTTTCAAAATTCAGAAAAGAATAAGCTTCAATTACTCATAATTGGTTATTTAAAATTCTACTTTGCCTATAGCTCCATAAAGGAAGATTCCGTATTTAGCATTTTTAAGATGTTTTATTTATTATGTTTTATTTTCTGTGTATGAATGTTATGCCTGCATGTAGGTAAGTGCACCCGTGTCATGCAAAGCCCACTGAGGACAGCAGAGGCTATTGGGTCCCCTGGAACTGGAGATATGGGCAGTTGTTAGCTGTCATGTGGGTACTGGGATTTGAACCCGGGTCTTCTGTAAGAACAGTGTTCTTAACCACTGAACCATCTCTCCAGCCCCTGTATTTAGCATTTTTTATGTCTTCTTCCAGCCTTTTCTCTGAATTATTTTAAAATTACAATGTAGGGGGGCTGGAGAGATGGCTCAGCAGTTAAGAGCACTGGCTGCTCTTGCAGAGGGCCCAGGTTCATTTCCCACATATTTGATTCTCATAAACTAGTTGATTTTTTTTACATCCCCAAACTTATTCAGAAGAACTTGCTATTATAGAAATTTCATTTCTGGAACTGGAGAAATGGCTCAGTGTTTAAGAGCACTGGCTGCTCTTGCAGAGGACATGGCTTTGATTCCCAACCCTCACATGGCAGCTAACAACCATCTTTAACTCCAGTTACAGGGGAATATATCTTCTGACCTCCACGGATATTGCACTTGCAAACGTGCACTTAAACAAATGCACTTAAACATACACATAAGCCAGGCATGGTGGGGCATGCCTTTAGTCCCAGCACTCAGGAGGCAGAATCAGGCAGATCTCTATGAGTTCAAGCCCAGCCTGGTCTCTGTAATGAGTTCTAGGCCACCTGGAGGTACAGGGTGACCCTGTCTCAGAAAAGACTGAATAATAATAATAATTCTAAAAGGCTTTAAAAAGAAATTTCATTTATAGGCCGGGTGCGGTGGTGCACGCCTTTAATCCCAGCACTTGGGAGGCAGAGGCAGGCAGATATTTGTGAGTTCAAGGCCAGCCTGGTCTACATAGTGAGTTCCAGGACAGCTGGGACTACAGGAACACCCTGACTCAGAAAGACAAGAAAAAATAATAATAAGGTATTTCATTTCTAGAGCGAATATGAATTAATCTCATTATGGATTTTATATAAAACAATTGCAGTCTGATACCAAATGCTCTTGTTCTGTCTTGTTTATCTTTTGTTGGGTTGTTGTTTTCTACAGCTTCATCACTGGTCCATCTGTAGTTCCAGGATACTTCTCCATTGACGTGAATAATGTGGTTCTTGTTTTAAATGGAAGAGAAAAAGAAAAGATTGTCCCTGCCACCTAGTGGTTACTTTGTGCACAGAATTTAGTGGAAATTCAAAAACTGCAGCATCTTGCCGTTGTTTTGCTCAGAAATGAACATTGTGATAATGACTAGATAATGCGATTCCTCAGTAGAAATGGAGGCTTTGTGGACCTGCTTTTCATAACATACGACAGGCCCTGGATTAATGATGTGGATGTTTTTCAGTGGGCTTTAGTTGTAGCAACGTAAGTACAAAATAAGATTAAACATTCCTAGAGTCTGAGATCTCAGTTCAGAACGGGGAAGATGATGTTTTACATTTAAATAGTTTACAGATGAGGCCAGGGGCCTTCTTCCTACTGGCATAGAATGTGGTCTCATGCTTCAGTGACCGTAATGATGTTTTTAGAGTATTTAACCCTTTCCAAAAAGAACTGATGACTACTGTTTTCTTTAAAATTTATATAGGATAGATTTTAAGATTAGTGCCCTAAAGAGATGTTTAGCAGAGAATGAATGAAAATAGAGCATATATAATTTTGAGGAAAAGCAAATACTGTTGCAGCAATATTATTATGTAAAGAATATATCGTACTCTTGATTTGTGATTTGCAGATTTTTTAAATTATTTATTTAATAACCACACAATCAGAAGAAGCATTTCATTACAACAGCATTGACATATTCAATACAATTTCCAGAGCTAAGATGC